GCAGCAGCAGCACCACCACCACCACCACTACCACCACCAGCAGCAGCTGGAGCCCCCGCAGCAGCAGGAGCAGGAGCAGCAGCAGGAGCAGCAGCAGGAGAAGTATGATTATTAATTACCGGCTTGAATACAGCTAGCATGCCCTTCTGCAGTGTATGTGCTTCACCGCTTAATAATTTTTCTAAGCGACAGTGCATAGCCAAGCCTCGCGCTGTCTCATATCCATACTTCCCTACAAACAAAATTAACAAACATATATAAATATATTTAATTAATTAATTAATTAATTAATTAATTATTTAATTAATTATTTAGTTTTGTTTATTTATTCAGGCTTTGTATTTTTTAGCTGTCTCTCACACACATATACTTTTCTAGAAACAAAATAAGCAAATATAAATATAAATATATATAATGTTTATTTATTTATTTATTTATTTATTTATTTGTTTAATTAATTTGTTTGTTTATTAATTTATTTATTTTATTTAAGTTAATTTAATAAGACAAACAAAATAAACAAAATAAACAAACATAAGAAAAACAGAAAAAGATAAAATAAAATTTAAACATAAAAATATAATTAAAAATAAAATAATTAATAATATTTAATAAGTGTGCTACACACAAACAAACTTAGAGACAAATATAAACATAAAAAGATAATAAAAAGATAAAAACAATACAACAAAATAAACTAAAATAAACATATTATAATAGAACAAATAAAAAGAACTGAATATAAATAAATATAAATAAATATAAATAAATAATAAAATAAAATAAATAAATATAATAAATTAAATATGCATGCAGCAGACCACGAGCGTTGATACTCCCTTCCACTTCAAGACAAAGACGACGACAAATAAATAAAATAAATAAATAAAATAAATAAATAAATAAATAAATAAATAAATAAATATAAATATAAATAAATTAAATATGCATGCAGCAGACCACGAGCGTTGATACTCCTTCCCGTTTCTCGACAAAGACAAAGACACCGACAAATACAAATAAATAAATAAATAAAATAAATAAAATAAATAAATAAATATAATAAATAAATAAATAAATTAATTAATTAATTAATTAAATATACCTGCAGACCACGAGCGTTGATACTCCTTCCCGTTTCTCGACCAAGTACAAACCCAGCGGTTTAAAGACTTATTAAAGAACACTCCTCGCATTGTTGACGATAACTGCGAATGCCGTTCTGCGCCGCCGTTAGCTAGCTTTAATAGCTGCTCAGCTAAGTCGGGATGCAGGCCTGCTGCTGCAGCACATGCAGCTAGCTCTTGCTCTTGTTGCTGCTGCTGCTGTTGCTGCTGATGCTGTTGCTGCTGATGTTGTTGCTGCTGTTGTTGCTGCTGTTGCTGCTGCGGTGAAGGAGGTGATGTTATGTCGTCAGATGCAGATGCAGCAGCAGGAGAAGAGGAACAAGAAGAAGCTCCTGCTGCTCCTGCTGCTCCTGCTGCACCTCCTGCTGCTGCTCGCATGCGGCTGTGTTGCTGCGGGGGGCTTCCTTTTACTGGTGTCAGTCGTGTGCGGCCTTTGCTGCTGCAGCTGCTGCTGCTGCTGCTGCTGCTTAGAGCAGAGTTTGAACGCATCTTCTTTGCTGCTGCTTTTCTAAGGCCGTATCCATGAGTCTTAAGCGGCCCTTCATGCGGGGCGCCTTCTGCTTCTGCTTCTGCTGCTGCTGCTGCTGCTGCTGAAGAAGAAGCAGTAGCAGCAACTTGCTGCTGCAGTGCTGCCAGCTGTGCTAATGCATCTCCTAACCCTTTGTCTCCCTCGGCTGACCTCTTTCTCCTCGCACGTACACTGGAAGAGCTAAAAGAATCGCTTTCGCCTTCTGCTGCCGCTGCTGCTGCTGCTGCTGCTGCTGCTGGATCCTGCTGCTGCTGCTGCTGCTGCAGCTGTTGCTGCTGCTGTTGTTGGCGCGCTGCAGCAGCATCTGCAGGAAAAGTATGTGCTGCGGAGTTTGTTTTCGCCCCTGCATTGCGCGTCCCCTGTTGCTGCTGCTGTTGCTGCTGTTGCTGCTGCTGCTGCTGCTGCTGCTGCTGCTCGCAGTGAAGCTTATGCAGCACTTCGCCTAGAAGGCGAGACCCTCTTAACGCTAAACTCTTCGGACTGCAGCAGTTCAATATTTCTGACTGCAGCGAAGGATGTCTCCTCTTATTAACACTAGCAGGAATAAAGTCTGCACTGGGTGTACACCGCGTCCCTGCTGCTGCTGCTGCTGCTGCTGCTGTTGCTGCTGTTGTTGCTGCTGTTGCGGGTGAAGGAGCAGCAGGAGAAGGAGACTGCTGTTGCGGCAGACCAGTTGCTGCTGCTGCTGCTGCAGCAGCAGCAAGGCCCAA